TGTACTCAAGTAGATTGGGTCTTCATTTGATAAATAAACAAATCTCAATAAACTAAAGAAATTATTGCTTTTTTTTTCTGTAGAATTTATTTGCTTTTCAAAAAGAATTACAGAATAATTTGGCATTGGTGTTATAATTACACATTTATATGCATACACTGATATATATATTTCTTTTAACAGGATGACTACAGAAAGCTGTAGTGGTTATCAGCGATATCAGTAAAGTACTGTAAAAGAACAAATAGTTGATGTTATTTAAACTGAAATGATAAGCTTCATTTGTAGGCATTGTTGTGGTCAGCTGTTCCGTAGTTGTGGTCAATGGATCAAAACATAACTAAATTGTTGCCGATAAATTCAGTATGTAAAATGACATCTATAGAAAATGTCTCTGTTTATTGCACTTATAAAAACAAAAAAAAGAAAAAAAAAAGAGCTCGTAGATAAACACTTTTAACAGGTTCCAAAGATCACTTACTTTTGAATAGTCTTCCGCATAAACACGTAAAGCAGCTCGACGAATAATTTCATAGGAGCAATAGTTGAATGAACCTTCGCAACCTAAATCAAAATTGTTCATCTGAATAAATTACTTTAACAAATATAACGTTATTATAACACTGATTTTATTACGTCAACAAACTGTAATCAACTGTTTATCAAATGTTGATTGGTGGTTTGAGAAAAAAAAAAAAAAGAAAAACTTTATCTATTCTTTGTATCGGGTATATTGCTATGTTTCACAAGAAATATTGTCAGATAAGTAACAGTGAAAAAGCTGTGTACCTTTAACATAGTGTGTGATGTTCACAAATCCGTTGGTACCATTGATAGAGCGAATACCATTGATGATATCAGCTTCTTGTTTAAATGCCAACTTTAAAAGTTGTTTTTAATTATAGATTTTTTCTAACTAAAATTTTTGTAACCAAAAAAACAACAATTTTTTTTCAGTTAATCGTTTCATCAAACCTTTATCATAAATTTGTCATCGTCGGTTTTCCATAATTCAACAATTATTGCAGCTCCATAAAATGCTGGACCAAGTGGAAGAACTTTTTGTTTGATGTTTAATGAAGCCAACAGCATACTCAATGTTGTATCGTGCTGAACAAGGTGCGAAAAAAAGAAATGATAAAAGTTTTTTAAACATTCTCTTTAATCATCGTGTCAGTTTTAATTAATCTTTTCTTCTTGTTGCTGTTAATTCTTTTCTGCACAAAAAGAGAGTACGAAAACACTGACAGGAAAAAATGTTTTTAGAATAAAATAATTAATACAGAAAAATCTTACTCCAGAATACGCAAAAAACTTCAAACCAGAAATCCATTTACAATTATCTGTTTCTTGATTATTGCTCTTAATGCAGTGTATCTGTAAGAAAAAAAAAAATTTTTAAAAATTTGTAGAAAAAAGTTTCAAGTGACTGTTTTTAGACGTATTAGAATTAATTGATAGAATAATACAACAAGTAATTAATTTCTGCAAAACAGATGTAACTTTTAGACAATAGTGTCGTAAAAATTGACTTCAATCAAATATCAGTAGTTTTAGATAATTTTTGTACAAAATTTTTAAGTTATCTTATTAGATCGCTGGAATAGATACTGTTTAGCAGCAGAATCACTTGTACACTTCTCCTAATTTTTTCAACTCACATTATTTTCAGAAACTGATAGATGAAACAGACTTTGGGAGAGAGGTATGCAAAAAAGAGGAATCTTTTTATAGTTTTTCAATCGATTTGCAAAATTCAAGTTTTTTATTGTTTTAAAAAAAAAAATCATTATAAGCGATTATTCTGCCTGAATTTTTACATTAAACTTGACCCAATTTTATTCGACAGTGAAAAAAAAAAAAAA